GTAACATTAAACATGATTCAGGATAACGGCTATGCATGTTTACCCAGCCATTAGCTTTAAGGTTTATTTATTTAGGGTTTATTTCCAGATTAAAATGTATGAAAAAGAAGTGACATTGGATAGAGAAATAAATAAAAATAGCAATCCCTCAGGGAAACTTTCCCCTATAAGATTTCCTGAAAAAAATGCCCATCCTGGCTAAATATTTCTAAGAGGTTAAGAAATTAGTGGTTTCTTTATGCTTGCTTAGGGCTAGCATCTACAAATTTCACATACTTTCAAAACTTTTGATTTTGCTATTAATACATTTCTTTTGGGGAACTAGATTTTATTTTTTTTACCCTTTTTTATGCTTATATCTCAGTTGATGGTTAACGTCTTCATTCATAACTATTGGGATGCTCCCTAAACTATTGTTTTTAATGCTCTGGGCTAAAAATTTATAATGGAAAATGGAGAAGGAATAACAGATTATTCTGCATGTGATGTTAAAAGACAACTAACAAAACAATAATGGAGAAACTAATAGGTTCTACACTAAGGCACAAAGTAGTTTGTTCGATTTTTGCATAATGTGTTGTTTGAATCGAACCAATGATGGTTAATTCATAAACCACTGTTAAACAAACAGGGATTTGTATGAGGGAGTGGATCCAATCCTAAATTCCCAAGTGCTATTTTTTTTCACCTCTTTCAGCAAGTGTACAGCTGAAATTCAATTGTGCATTCAGAGACATTGAAGAATAGAATAGAATAGAATAGAATAGAATAGAATAGAATAGAATAGAATAGAATAGAATAGAGCTGGAAGGGATAGCCCCCTGCTCAAGCAGGAGAACCTATATAATTTCAGACAAGTGACTGTCTAGTCTCTTCTTAAAAACCTCCAGTGATGGAGCACCCACAATTTCTGAAGGCAAGCTGTTCCACTGGTTAGTTGTCCTCACTGTTAGGAAGTTTTTCCTTAATTCCAGGTTGCTTCTCTCTTTGATCAGTTTCCAACCATTGTTTCTTGTCTTACCCTCTGGTGCGTTGGAGAATAGTTTGATGCCCTTTTCTTTGTGGCAGCCCCTCAAATACTGGAATACCGCTATCATGTTGCCCCTGTTTCTTTTTTTCTTTAGACCTATACCTTTCCATAAACTTGCTGTGTATTCAACATGCTACCATTCTATGCTTATTAATGATTTTTTCTCCTTCTCTTGTCATCCAGGCATTAAGTGATCGGTTCTGTGGTGAAATTCCAGATGATCAAATGGCTCATAGCTCCTTCTTTCCAGATGAGTATTTTACCTGCTCCTCTGTATGTCTTAGCTGCGGGTAAGTAGATATGAAGGCCTATATTTGAATAAAGTTTATCCAGTCCTAGAAAATGTACATTATGTTGTAATGTTGGAGTGATACTAAGAATAGCCACGCATCATTTGGTTTTGTTGAAGAGATGCCTACTATAGTTTCTTCTAGTATACATTGCAGATCATGTCTGCTACTAAAACATTGAAGTGCGGCTCATACACTTACATATACTGTACTTACTGTACACTTTCAAATTGGATTTTTTATTTGCTTTGTTTGTTAAGATGTTGTATATCACCTGGCGCATTCGTTTTTAATGGCCTTCGTGCTATTTTAGATAATCATTAAGATTTCTACATTACAAAAATAGGATTTGGGGTATCATAAAAACTAACAAATCTAAACTGACTATATTTGTTTCTGGATAACACTCAATAGATTAGAAATGGAAGTTCCATTTGTTGTAATTTCATATTTCCAATTTGAGTTCAATAAATAATTCTCCGGTATTAGAACGACATATTGACCCTCATCAAATGGAACTAGAGACTGGCTAAAATCCCCACCTTTAATCATGCTGATTAGTTCTAAAATTGTAGTATTTATTGTAAGAACGGTTTGCTATTGATGGATATGTCTTTTTTTTGTGTAACATTTTTGTTGTCCTTTTCCCTTTTCTTTCATTTTGTTGTTGTATAGATGAATAATTTCTCTGTGTACTGTTATGACTGTTTCAAGGTAATCAAGTAAGCATTAGGATTTGATGGTTATAAAATTAGTAGGGGAAAACAAGCCGTATATAAATATAAGACAGTAGGACCCCAAATACACCAAATATTCAATTTTAACAATTGTCAGTACAGACCAAAAGTGCAGAATGGTAAGTAAATGTCTCCTTCCTCCTTTTGCTGACTGTCTTTGAATAACTATTGCAATGCCATTCTCCCCCTTCAAATGGGGCTACAGCAATATATTACTGCAAGGTCATATTATCCAATCATGTTGTTATACTACAATATCATAAGTCTAATATAGAAAGAACACGAGGAGCACCTTACCTTTAGGTGAAGGAACACGATTTAATTTTGTCTCTTTTTCCAGTTCTTCCTCCCCCCCCCATTCCAATTTGTTTTTTTGGAAAACTCACTTTTTTTGAGATGAAATATGTAAAAAGAGTTTGATTCTAATGTTACTTAGGACAAGCTCGTAAAATTGAATTATTAGTGTACTGTACTGAGATATGTCATGCCAGCTGTTTGACCCCGATCCTTTTTTTTTTTTTTTGCTTTTCTTTGCAATTTTAGAAATGGGTGTAAGAAGAGCATGAACCATGCGAAAGAAGGAATCCCCCACGAAGCTAAGAATCGCTGTAGATACACTCATCAGTACGATAATCGAGTATTCACTTGCAAGGTGAGTGGAGCAAGGAAAGTGGCATTTCTGATACTGAAGATCATAAGCTGCTAAGGTGAAGGTGATCCAAAATTCATATGGAATAGAATAGAATAGAATAGAATAGAATAGAGCTGGAAGGGACCTTGGAGGTCTTCTAGTCCAGCCCCCTGCTCAAGCAGGAGGACCTATACCATTTCAGACAAGTGACTGTTTAGCCTTTTCTTAAAAACCTCCAGTGATGGAGTGCCCGCGATTTCTGGAGGCAAGTTGTTCCACTGGTTAATTGTCCTCACTGTCAGGAAGTTTCTCCTTAATTCCAGGTTGCTTCTTGTCCTGCCCTCTGGTGCTTTGGAGAATAGTTTGACGCCTTCTTCTTTGTGGCAGCCCCTCAAATACTGGAATACTGATATCATGTTGCCCCTGTTTCTTTTTTTCTTTAGACTTTCTCAACCACAATCCAATTTACATTAGTCATGTTTTTGGATTTCCTATTTTAAAATGGAAGTTCTTTTTTTAATTTTTTTTTAAAAAACCTCTCTCTGGGTATTTCTGGCAATGTACAGAATTAAAACATTTTTTAAAAATGTTTTAATTTATATGAATAGCAATAAGGTGGGACAGATAAAGAATGTCCCTGTAAGCCATCCTTTCCTTCTTTCTGTGTATATTATATGATGTAGCTAATTCTAGCAGTCCTAAATAATAGAAACAACATGAACTAGGAACTGGGAATTCATTTTGGTAGATCCCAGATAGTAGTTTTCAGCTAGAAATGATGATAATTTTCCTAATGTTGGGGTTTCTATACTCTTGCTTAAAATCATGATACGTTTTATATATACTTATGTTGTCATAAAAATGTTCAGCTCATGCAATTTCTTACTACTCCTTTTCTAAAAAGAAAAATTTGTATGCAGATTTGGCTTGAACATTGATATTTGAAGAGAAAAGCTTTTAAACTGATATCCTGCTTTTCAGGGCTGTTATGAACATGGTCAAGAGGTTAGGGTAGTGCCCAAAACTTCTGCTTCTACAGATTCCCCTTGGATGGGCCTTGCTAAGTATGCCTGGTCAGGGTAAGTATAAAGTCCATCCCTTCCCTTTGTGCTCTCCTAGTCTTTATCACTTCAAGAGGCTGAAGTGAGCAGCTCTTTTCTTCCCTACTTGCAGATATGTAATTGAGTGCCCCAATTGTGGAGTTGTGTACCGTAGCCGACAATATTGGTTTGGGAACCAAGATCCTGTGGATACTGTGGTGAGGACGGAGATTGTACACGTCTGGCCAGGAGTAAGTCTGTTGGCGATGATTGGTTTCCAGTTTTTTTTAGAACCATAAGGATTGGAAAGGGCCACTTAGATAAAGGATGGACAAACTTTGAACGGGATGTGTGTGTGTGTGTGTGTGTGTGAGGAACAGGAAGCTATCCATTGATGTCCAGTGCTCCAGGCCTGCACAAAGTGATTTGGCCTGTTTTTTAACTTTTGGGTAGGATTTCGAAGGTGCAGATGGAAAGAAGAGGTAAGCCATTCCCATTCACACCCTTAAATACTTCCCCCAAGATTTTGACTGGTGCCAAGGAGGCACATCCACGCTATTGGTACTCACCCAATTTAGGCCACTGAGTTCAATTAAACCAATCTCAATATGATTATAATTGATGATAGGTGTTCTTTATTCTGTGATGCTAACTCCTTCCCTGGATTTGACGTGTAGGAAAAGAATTTTCAGTGACTGGATGTTTAAAGTTCTTGCCAAGGCAAGTGTACGGAACTTGTGCCATTTCCGACGTTCTGCCCTTTGAATTTAGCAGCTCTTGGCAGCATGTTCTAAAGCCCCTGCAATCTACTCAAATGTGTCATGGTCAGGACTGATCATTCCCCCAATTATTTTGGTGGTATTAATATTTTTTTTGCTATTCTTTGCATAAAGGGAAACACCTGGATGTGTTTGATGAAAACAGCTTGGCAGAAGCAGTCAAACAAAATAAGATGTGCACATTACTGTTTCATTTCAGACTGATTGCAGCCTGAAGGACAACAACAATGCTGCTCAACGCCTGATCGATGGAATGAATTTCATGGCACAGTCAGTGTCTGAACTGAGCTTGGGACCTACCAAAGCTGTAACCTCATGGTTGACAGATCAAATTGCTCCGGCTTACTGGAAACCCAATTCCCAGATTCTGGTACCCAGCACCAGCAAAATTATTTGCAAATGTTTCTTGTTTTTCTTCACTTTGCTTTTTCTGAAGAGCTGAACAAATGGTTCACGATTTGTTTAAATGCACTTATTACAATGTACAAATCTATAGACTTAAGGGTTGTTGTTGTTGTTTTTCAAAATTGCAAATAGCTACTCTCCTTGGAATGAATATAAATGAGGGGTCCTTGGTGCTCTCTGAGCTTGCTTGTTTTCTTGCAGATGTTTCATTAACTAGGCAACACCATCAGTGCTAGTAAGGAGTGCTGTTTGCTGACTGAGAGCAAACAGCACTCCTACTAGCACTGATGATGTTACCTAGTTAGGGTAATGAAACATCTGCAAAAAAAAACAAGCACGCTCAGAGAGCACCAGGGACCCCTCATTTCAACCCTGAGCTACAAACATTCTCTTTCATGAATATAAATTGTTCCTAGGAGTTGTAAGAAAAAAACAACCTATTGGGTGTGGTGGGTAGACTTGTCTGAAGCAGGGCTCTTCAAACTTGGCCCTTTTATGACTTGTGGACTTCAACTCCCAGAATTCCTCAGCCAGCATACCTGGCTGAGGAATTCTGGGAGTTGAAGTCCACAAGTCATGAAAGGGCCAGGTTTGAAGACCCCTGGTCTGAAGCATCAGTTGGGTTTTCTGTTTTCTCTCCTCTTGAAATGTAGAAGAGCAATGCACTACTTTCATTTCCAGGATATAGTTTACATTTCAACAAGATTTGTTTCTACATATTATATGCTAATTGACCAAGCCTATCTTTTTTTTTGCTCCTTTAAAGTCAGAATGAGACACAATTCCTGACAGTAACCAGTGGCTGGTAATTTTGAGTTTCTCCTTCTCTCTCTTCAGGGCTAAAAGCTAGCCCACAAGCTCCTTGGATAAGACACCAATACTGTGCCTAATAATCCCTATGCAGCTACCAAGATTCTCCCAGGAAGCCAGCTTAGTGAAGACATCCATATTAATGAGGGAGGTAGCAATATTGCTTTAATCTATTCTTCCCTGATCTGCGGTTGAAATATATTTAATTACAATTTTCACCAAGAGCCACTGTCCAATGGCAGAGCGTATATTTTGCTTGGAAAGGACCTACGTATTTCTAAATAGAACTGGAAAAGCTCCTATCTAAAAAAGTCAGCACAGATGCTAAGCTAGATAGGTCAATAGAAGATGCAAGTTGACAAACAACATTGTTTCTTATGAGAACGAGAATTGAATTTGAGTGTTTTTGGAGGACCTTAAGTTGAGGAAAGCTAGTTTAGCCAAAGCCAATTGAGTGGCTTAAATACCTCTTCATATACCTTTTTTCCTTCATTTTCATTAAACAGGAAAAAAAAACCTGCAGTGTTTTGACTTCGCTCATCCTTTCTTGTTCAGAATTGTAGGAAATGTGGCATATCTTTCAAAGATAATGATACCAAGCACCATTGTCGGGCTTGTGGAGAAGGTTTCTGTGATGGTTGTTCGTCCAAGACTCGCCCTGTCCCGGAACGTGGTTGGGGACCCACACCTGTGCGAGTATGCGACAACTGTTATGACAACAGGGACTTTCAGTTAGGTAATCTTGTCTTGATCATATTATGTGTGTGAATCAAAGTGAGGAATTAACAGTGGGGTTTTTTTTTAGTAATACTGTATTGTGATAATGTAAATCTTGTGATGTCTGAAAATGAAAGCAAACTAAACCATACCTGTGATCGGCTACTTGTAACTAACATAGTTGTGTTAATTTCACTGGGTCTTCTCCAAGGCTGAATTTGCACAAGATAAATATTAATGGTTTGCTTAACTGTGATTCAATGAATAAAACAGCCTAAATACAAGTGATAATAAGGTTAGTGTGCTATATAAATTCAGTTGACATATGACTTGGACATAACCCTTAACTTTTGGAATCTCTTTCCATTATATGCAGCTCATTTCAGTCACTTTTGATGTTAATGCTATTATATACAATGTCTAAGATGTTGGACTTCACCCAAGGAACCCCGGGTTTCAATCCCACTTCATGTGGAGCTCATTAGATGATTCTAGGCTACTCACTCCTTCTCAGGTTATTGCTATGGAGATAAAATTAAGGGAGATGCCAATACATGCCATCTTAAGGTTCCTGAGAAAAAGTGAGTAGAGTAGAGTAGAGTAGAGTAGAGTAGAGTAGAGTAGAGTAGAGTAGAGTAGAGTAGAGTAGAACAGAACAACAGAACAACAGAACAACAGAACAACAGAACAGAACAGAACAGAATAGAATAGAATAGAATAGAATAGAATAGAATAGAATAGAATAGAATAGAATAGAATTCTTTATTGGCCAAGTGTGGTTGGACACACAAGGAATTTGTCTCCGGTGCATAAGCTGTCAGTGTACATACAAGTAATAGTGATAATCATGATCATATACAACATGAAAATATATTCATCATAAATCGTGAAATATAATAATTCATCATAAATCATAAGATGCAACACTTAGTGATAGTCATAGAGTACTAGCTAAGCAAACAACATAAATCATACTAGGATACTTAAAAAAACCCAATATAAATTGTAAGATACAAGCAGCAAAGTTATAGTCATAAGAAGACAAGGATAGGTAATAGGAAAGAGGAGGGGTATCATAGTAATATAGCTTTATTAAGTATTTTGACGGTGTTGCATTAAAAAAAATATAAGCAGTTATTACCTCAGGGCAAGTAATCACATAAGCAACATGCATATTGTTCAGTTTACTGTTCATGCAAATTTTTCATATTCATAATAAATTGTTAAAACATGAGGGATTTTTTTCAGTAATTTATCTTATTTAGTTGGTGTCTTTGCCAGCTGCATCCCTTGTTGGCTTCAAAAACAAACCATTTAAGGTTATTTATATATTTAAATGTATTGGCTGCCCAACTCCAGTGGACTCTGAGCAGTGTACAAAACTAGGAAAACTAAAGAAATGGCTAAAAACTTTGAATCCCACAGGCAGCTGAGGCAAAAACAACAACACAAAACGGGTCAACCCCAGACCAAAGGTTTTTTTTTTTAAGTTTTCTGGAACCTAAGGAGAATGAATGCTGTCCTTATCTCGGGGTGTGTGTGTGTGTGTGTGCTGTTCCAGTGGGTGTGAGCGGCAAAAGAGAAGCCATACTTCTTAGATCCCACAAACTGGCAAAGCTAAATGGAAAGGACCTGGAGCGCATCTGTTCGGCTGGATTATATTGGGAAAGCAGAAACAGTTGGAGATAAGCGAGATAATCACAATGTGACACACAATACTGCTAGCTTAATATGCTGCTGTGAGGATGTCGCTCCAAAGTGTCACTTGCTCATTTGATAGCATCTGAAAACCATGAATATTTCATGACTTTCCAACAGAAAGGTGAGAAATAATCCTGGAGTTCACCTATGAACGCATTCATCCGGAAAAGTCACACAAATTTGGTTGAAGCTCTTAATATTTAACCCTGAATGGATTTTGGCCTCCATTGTAGATTGGCTAGGTCAGGATAACTGTGGGAGCTTTATAAAATCATGATTAGAAGAAACCATTTAGCCTACTGCAGGGGTAGGCAACCTTGGCTCTTTTATGACTCATGGACTTCAACTCCCAGAATTCCTGAGTCAGCATAGGTAACTCAGGAATTCTGGGAGTTGAAGTCCATGAGTCATAAAAGAGCCAAGGTTGCCTACCCCTGGCCTACTGAATCCAAATTAAAGCATCTCTGACAGGTACCTGACCAATCTCTGTTGAAGCATATCGTTCAATGGGAAGTTTATCACCTTGATAAGATGTAGTCTTGTGAGGAGGTTGGTCCTAACATTCAATCAGAATCTGCTTTGGCTAACATAAGACAAGTATTCTTATGTTGTGCTGTTTTTAAAATAGGGTTAGGGGATTCCTTTGGGATTGTGCTTTTGGTTTTTGAGCCCTAAAATTTGTTTTGCAGAAGTGGCTGAGGTATCAACAGATGAGGAAGGAGGGACAGTGATTGCCAGGAAAGTTGGTGAAGCTGTGCAGAATACCCTCGGGGCTGTGGTAACCGCCATTGACATCCCACTGGGTAAGTGTTACAAAAATGGGGAGGGGGAGGTTGGGACGGGGGGGGGGGAAGCAACATGTGGGGGAATGAACAGAACTTACTTCTGAGGCAGCTGATTTTTTTTAATTGATAGGTTTATAAATTAAGTATTCTGAGTTACCCTCATTTTGTGATTATGGCCAGGTATTTTCAAATCTCAGTTGGAGGCAGAGACATTTCCCAGTAGTGTTTTTTTTTTTCCTGGCTGTACTCTATGTGTCAATAGGCAGAGCCAACATAGAGAGGGACTAACAGACAGAGCTTAACATAATTAAGGTATATCCATACATAAACTTTAAATAGTTTTTTTGTAAACAAACAGAAGAGACTACGTAACCTTTGCCCTACTTCGCTGATAACAAACTAGCTTTGTGGGATTTTTCTGATCATTTACAGGTCTCATGAAGGATGCCGCTAGGCCTGCCTACTGGGTACCTGACCACGAAATCTTACACTGCCACAATTGCCGGAAGGAATTCAACATCAAATTGTCAAAGCATCACTGTCGTGCTTGCGGCCAGGGCTTCTGTGATGAATGCTCCCATGAGCGCAGAGCTGTCCCTTCCCGTGGTTGGGATCATCCAGTTAGAGTCTGTTTTAATTGCAATAAAAAGCCTGGTGATCTTTAACCCTAACTTTCCTTCTGGGTACGCAGTAACACCATAGCTTCTCAGGGTTAGATAAAAAAGAAAAGAAAAGAAAAAGAAAAACTAGGCAGAATGCATGCTGCTCATGTCTAGCCTTCTTTACATGTGTAGATTTCAGTAACGTGAAATAATCAATAGCCCGGATAAGGCTTGATTGCCAGTTGTGATCATGGAAGTTGGGGATTGGAGTATGTGGAGAAGCTTGCAATAAGTTGAGGAATCCCAGATCCAGTATATACCAGTCAACTGTATGTATTTCTATATCCCTATAATGTAGTATGCTAAATGCAGCTGGCTGATGAAGCATTGGTAATTTACTGTTAACATTGAAACGTAAATAGAAATTGGATTTTTTTTTTAAGTGTAATGGATCAAGCACAACCTCTTGAGTGCCTTGGGATTCATTTGCTTGAAGCGTTCTGCTACTTACAGCCTCATGAATTTCAATAACTGTGATTCTACAAGTTGGTCACTTGAAATAACCACCATTCATGAGCCTTGGTTTTGGATACAGAGTACCAGGCCTTTGGTCTGGCCATTGCAACTCTTATCACCCCTATTTATTTTATCCCATTCTGGTTTCCTTTTGCTGGTAGGGTCTTCCCAGTCAAAGCTAGAAAAGAGGAGGGATGCTGTTTATTACTATGTGCAAGGTCTGATGTGTAAGATTGGAAGCCCTTGTTCAAGCAAGCAAACAGTTCAAGTTTGGACAGAAGCTAAATTTGTGGCACAAACCCAAAACTTACCTATTAAAGCCATTCCAGTTTAATTCTGAGGTGATGAATCCTTACTCTTCTTATCCACAATTTTTTGAGGTTGTGGGATTTCTTTGTGATATATTCTCATTTCTTCATCAGACATGGCCAGACTGAAAGCAATGGTAAGTACGAAGCAAACTTCCAGCAGTGTAGTATTTGTTTAGCTTCATAAGCTTTAGTTCTTTGTAAGTTGGCAAATGTCTGAAAAGACCCTCAAAGCACTCAAATAAACACAACTGAAAATGGGCAGTCTTCTGAGTGTACAAGCAAATGAGACGGTGGCATTATTTTTTTTACAACAGCCCTGTACTGAACCACTCTTGAGGCATTGATCTAATCCAGGGGTAGTCAACCTTGGCTCTTTTATGACTCGTGGACTTCAACTCCCAGAATTCCTGAGCCAGCTGAGCTGGCTCAGGAATTCTGGGAGTTGAAGTCCACGAGTCATAAAAGAGCCAAGGTTGACTACCCCTGATCTAATCACTGAATAAAATGATGGGATTAGGCTTTTCTGTGGATCTTGTTACAATGATAAACGAGATACCCTCAGAAGCTTAATGAACAAATCCCTTATCATTTTGCCTCTTCTGAGTCAAATGGCAAATTCCTGTGGTGGAGATTATCTACATTAATAATGGCTGGACTTTGGCATGATATCTAACACTGTTTTCCAATTTATTAAGTATACCCTTGTATATCTTGATGCCTGAAATCCTGTTGTAGGACTGTATTAAATTAAGTGCTATAAAGGACTTAACCCTTCTGAACAAGTGTGCTGATTTTTTCTGAATGCCTGCCTAGTCGTACTCTGTTACTAGAGGGAAGATATAGTGTTGACTCTGTATATCAAACAGAATTGGATTATATAGTAATACATTTCTGAATTACACACGATTTAATATGTGTTTTGTAATTGGAAGCTGAATAGCCTTTCTATCCCCTCCAAGGGAAAAGTCTTAGTGGAGGGTTTTGTTTTCTCCCAATATGATTTTTAGTATTGACTTGTGGTGGAACATAAAAATGGAATTTGTTTGTAAACTCTTTGTGTTCTTCATGCCTGTAGCTCTTCCACCATGTTACTGCACATACAGAAATACTGAACATTCCTCATATAAAATATTCACTTGTAAGCTCCTACTTTATGTAGTTGTTTTCTTTTTTTTAATCAAACTTCATTCTAAGAAGCTCAATGTTTGGCAATGCTGTCTTCATCATCCTGGTGTCTTTAAGCTATTTTAACTTCAAGTTGCATTGTTCCAAGTGACTAGGCATTCTACAGTGCAAGCCACGGTAAACTCGACATACTACTGATGCTGCCAAAGGACTGAAGTTGCGTGGTCTTCACTATGTCACTAATTAAGTGGGCTTAAAAGGTCATCCTTAGAACAGAACCAAATATACCCTAGAATTAAGAGTTTTCTGCTAAAATAAGAACTACTGCTCAGTTTGCAATCACAAATAATACTAAATATCAGTATGAAAATTGGAGAGAGAACAATGCTAATGAGAAGGTCTTATTGGTTGAAAGATAGTTACGCAAACACTTATATCACTCCTTAAATAGTTTAGGTTGACTTAACACATTTCAGCATATGAAACATACAAGAATTCAGGGTATCAAGCTGTACTTGATCTTCATAGATTTAAAATCCTCCTGGATTTTCAAAATGAATTGTAACATTCTTAAATTCAGGATCACAGCATACATAAAGAGTATAGGAAGCCAAACATAATGCTATAATAATGTTTGAGCTTTTACCTGTTCATTGCAAGACAGGTACTGCAATACGGTTGCAGAGAATTAACCAAATAAATTGCTTTTGTATAAATGGATCATAATAAACTTTTGAGAGGAGTTGGACATTCTATTTTAAAAAGTGATGCTTTGCCAGAAGCCCATCGCACCTCTATAAATGTGGAGAAATAATGGATGCAGTTCAATGCACTACAAAATGAACTGAATATGGAAGAGCATATTTCCATGGAAGCATTTATTTTGTAGATGAATCCCATTTACAAGAAGTTGATCTTATCTATCTCCCCTTCCTTGTTTCCATGTTAGGGCTTGAATCTAGAGTTTCTACCAATGCCCTGCAGAATCCAAAATATGTTTATATTAGTTACAGAATGATTTCTGCAGCATATACAGAGTAATTGGAGTAATTAAAATACATTAATATCATTTTGTTCTACACTTTCATCATATTTTTTTTTTAAAAATTGGAACAAATTTCTCTCTTTTGTAAGAACCAAATTGCTTAACTCATACATAATGGTTCTTTCCTCAAATTATACTACAAATTCTTTAGTTCTGTCTGATGTCAGCATATAACTTTAAATATGATAGTAATCTTTCCTCCAGTGATGCACTCACCTAGTGTAAAATGGTTTCGGATGGGCAAATACAAAGGGCAGTTTCTGAATTCTAACTGGCAAGATTGTTTTTCATACAAGATAGCTAAAAACACAAACTAGCTAAACCATCAAACATAACCCCACAAGTGTCTAAATTAGAAATGTCAAACTGCTATCTAGTTTTGTTAAGTGTTTTATGTGATCAAACTGAAGCATAGCTTTAGATTTTGTACCAATTACAAGCCAAATTTTGTTAAGGTTAGCTAGTATAAAACCAAATCCATGAAATGTAAATCAATAATTTACATATATAGAGCATGTTTATATATGTCAATAATTGACATATATAAAGCAAGATTTAATCAATTTATCAAAAAAATCTTTGTTTTCTTCCCGTGTTTAAAATATGAGCTTGTTCTTAAACATAATACAGTATAGATTAGAATCTCGCCTGCAGGCTTTACATTCTTAAAGGCCATTGGGATTTCTTTCTTTGCTTGTTTTTATTATATAATGTATTAATCTATTTCAGTGGATATGTGACTGAAGGTCTATTGAAACAAATATTGAAATATTGGAATTAAGGAGGCTTGTCTAAAAATAAGCATGTTGGATAGATTTCTGTGCTGTGTGTGTAATGCTACTCAAATAATGGGACTTTCTTCCTAAAAACCCCTCTAAATCTGCATTCTCAAACTGTTTTAAATCAAAACATTTTTAATGTTACATAAAAGATTCTGAAGAAGATAGTAACAGGCAGAGGATAGTTATCCCTTCTATTCTTTGAACAGAAACTGTCTCTTCTGGAAATGTACATTTCTTTATAAGTAATAATTAATATTGATAATGAACAGAGAATAGAGAACTGTAGTGTATGAAAACCAGTGCAATTCCTCATCTACCTGGGGTTAACCAGGACAGGGTTTTTGGAAGAAGGAGCAGACTACGTAGGATGAAACAGAATACTAGGGAAAATTGAGGACAGTCCAAACAGAAATATGTTTGCAGCTATTGTTAAAAAGAACAGTGGCAAAACAGTGGCAAAAAAGGCAACGAAAGCTTTGGAGGAAATATCTTTCAAGCTACCCTACATTAGGCTGACAACCAGAAGCTTTCCATATCAGTTAATACTATTTCTAAAGTAACATTACACAAATAATATGCTTTGGTACAATTATCTGCTTTACTTAATCTTCAAATAACGATGGGCTTTGGAAATCTCAGAAAATCAAGTTCATTAATGTAGCAAAGATCACTTTGGACCAGGGGTGTCAAACTTCTGGCCTGCAGGCCAGTTTCATCATACTGAAGCCGCGCCCCCCCCCCCCATTGCCAGCAATGCAAAAAGTCGCGATTTGTCACGACACATCACGTGACGTGGCGAGTTTGACACCTGTGCTCTGGACTCTGTTAAGATTTTGAGATCTATTTATTTATTTATTTATTATTTAAATTTCTACCCCGCCCTTCTCCTAGCGGACTCAGGGCGGCTTACAGCCATTAAAACAGGTACATAATACAAAAATACTGAATTTAAAATGTAATTAAAAATAGAATATTAATTATTGGCCTTTTCTTGCTAAAATTATTTTAAAACCAATTTTAAGATAACCCTTAGGCCAGTCCTGCTAGCTTAAATAGCCATGTCTTGAGGGCGTGGCGGAAGGAGGGGAGATCCGGAATCACCCGGATCTCTGGGGGTAGTGGAACATTCAAATATTCTGCCCCCTTCGTAATTGTGAAACATAATTGTGAAACATATCAGCTTTCACCATAGTTGTAAGCTTTAGCAACTGTATTAGAAGTCATAGAAATACCAGCAGTTTGTAATTACTATGAAAAGAAAAACAAACAAGAAAATGCACACTATTTATTTTAACTGAAAAATATTGATAATTGTAAGAATTCCGAATGTTAACTATGGGAACTACAGCACAACTAGACCCATCATTCTTGTTTTCAGTCACTATGCAAGGTAGAACAGTCCATGTTTTTAATATCCAGGCAATATGGATCATCTGTCTTATAGGAGAAATAGTAGAGATCTTGTTTGACTGCCATAAGCAAGCCAGGAACACCTCGGACACCTCCAAGCTGTGACGAGAACACCACATTTGGAATAGAATCTCTGGAGGATGGAGATGGAGATGGAATAGTTCGTAGCAAATGAGCATCCTGGAGACTCCAAATTCGCGTATAACAGTCTTGACCCACTAGGAAGAAAAAAGCAATTAAAATATGAACATAAACTGTAGCACTTAGCTTATTTACAGACATTTCAATAAAACTGTAAGTTCTTCATCCACTGCCTTTCCCAAATTAGACTGCTTGCTATAGATTTTGGTAAAGGTGGCTGATTGTAATTAAAATGGGTGAAATGGCCATACAAACTGACAAACTTAGGGGGGGAGGAGATCGTATGTGGTACCAAGATGGAGAGCAGAAAAGTCCTGTCTTCTGCCACTGAGCTAGTAGCTAAATTTGGGTAATAAAAATTCCAATCAACTGAGCAAAGCGAACATGTATGTGAAAAGAGAGATGCCAGTTTGTCGGAGAAAAACCTAACCTCTTTTAGAGAATAGTAGTTTTCCTGAAATCTGGATCAATATCTCAAGCATATTATTAAAGCCAGTTAGGTGCTATTTTCATTTGGTATTATGCTTACAAGTTTGAAAACAATAAATACTGCTTCCAGAGTCTTCGGTTTGCTCTAAGGCCAACTTCATTTTGTATACACCAGGGCTCAGGAATTCTGGGAGTTGAAGTCCACGAATCATAAAAGAGCCAAGGTTGACTACCCCTGGTATACACTAACAGTATGCACTCTACCTGTTTATTATTTAATAATAAATACAGTCTATGACCAAGAATGCCATACCTGCTGAAAGAAGCCCTTCCTCCTCATTGATGTGCAAAGGAAGAATAGTGTGCTCATTTTTATGACCGCTATATTCTTTTACACATTTTAGTTGTCTCAGGTCCCAGAGCTTTATCTGCAAGTGATCAAAACCAACAGAACTAATATAACTCTATTTTAAGTAGAAGATGTTATTATCGAGAAAATTTTATTTTAAAAAAAATCCTACCTGGCCTAACATATCTGCAGCCAAGAGATACTGCTCACTTTTCAGGAGATTAACAGATGTGATTGCTGAATCATGCAAGAATTGCCCAGCTTTCCATTTTTCCCCTTTATGGTTGCATTGACGGACATCAATACTGAAAATCTCTCCTGAACGACAACCATTATACAAAACTGGAGACTAGAAAAGCCAAGGGAGAAATTAAAACATTTTCAACTAAATCCGCTCTCAAAAACAGCCTTTAATAACACTTTATATTGGATTTTTTTTTAGGCTACAGAAGCACATAAGGAGTCGTTAATTCTAATAATATATAAATCATAATATAAAAATGGGCTCAGTAATTCTATTTTATCCAAATGACAGCCAAAGTAGTGATGATGCAAGCAGCTGAAGAAAGAGGGCAAGGTTTAAGTTTAGCTGTATCATATATCTTTATTACATGTCCCGAACTGGTTGTCTGGCAAAAAGTGGTTGACATTAGCAGCAGATTTTCTAGTGACCAAACATTCAGCATTAGTGACATTATATCATGTGATTATCTGAATAACAGGCTGCAATTTCTTTCTCCTAGAATGCCATTCCAACAAATTTAAACAGCCATTATGTTATAGCACTTCATCTGTTTCTGTCCTCTCGTGCCCTTATTATATCCTGCCAGCATTAAGTTCTGGTGAATAAATGTATATCAAGCTGATAGCCTATCCCACCTGGGTGGCAAATTGCTGTGCTAGAACATCACTGTTGGTATTAAATGTTTGATGATGACCAGTCACTGCATTAGTAACAACGATTCGTCGACTTAAACCTAAGACAAAAAAAAAAAAAAGTTAAGTGACAAGTGTATAATAAGAAGACACCACAATGGAAATTTGAATTACTAACCTGTGCTAAAGCAGTTATTCGCCTGAGGGTTATGACACCAGGCACAAGACCAGGCTGTGGAGATGTTGAACCTCCATGATATTCCACACTGATCTCCTAAAACGAATAGGAAGATATTAAATGCCACTATGAAGTTGGAAATATGCTCCATACAAATCTATGCCCTGTCATTTCTGAACATAATATAATTATTTCAGGAGAAAAATATGGCAATACGTGAAACAATGTTGTAAAAATGAAGCAATTTCATTGCTTGTAATTTGTAAGCTGCCCCGAGTCATTTTGTAGGGAAAAAGGGTGGTATAGAAATTTAATTAATAAATAAAGTTGTAAAGAATGCAAGTGATAATTCTTAGAATCTGGGCAAATTTTCTATTTGGAGGCAGAGGTGTTTATACTAATACCTGGAATTAAAAACCCTTCAGACATTACACATTTCATGATAGTTAACATGTTGTTTGAAAAAACTAATTATTACCTTTTCTAAATATGTTTCAGCTTCATTAAAGACACTGATTTTTTTTTGTCCCATATCTTCGTTAAATCTTGTTTGCTTAATGTGTTTATGATTTTTACTAATATTGGGCTTCACAAGTTTCTATATCCCTAACCTGAGATAGAAGTCCAAGTTCTTACAATAATGTATATATAGCGTAGCAAAAAATGTTCATACTTTCCTCCTGGACCAATATTATTGTATTTTATCACACATCAACAGCAATAGTTTAATTGCATTTTTCAGGGAAAATACGTCTATTTTATAATATCTATAGCAGTGGTGGCGAACCTATGGCACGCGTGTCAGAGGCGGCACTCAGAGCCCTCTCTGTGGGCACACGTGCTATCGCCCCCCACCTCCCCCCGCAGCCCCCTCACCAGCATCCCCCCTGGAGGAGAGTCTCCCCCGGGCGTGGACCACGTGGAGCTGCACAGCCAAGCACATGGCAGCCAGGCAGCAGGGACAAGACTCTGCCCTCAGGCCCCATCGCACACAGATGATGCGTGGAGTATGGAGGGCATGAGTCTTGTCCCTTGTTTTCAAATTTCAGTTCCCTGTTAATATTCTCATGGATCAAAAATATATATCCCGAGGACGTGGACAGGGTCTTGGGGAGGCTGAATGCAACCACATGTTTATTAGATCCGTGTCCCTCCTGGCTGGTAATGGCAGCTCGGGAGGGTACACGAGCCTGGTTCCGGGGAATTATTAACGCTTCTTTGCAGGAGGGTGTCTTCCCTGCGGCCTTAAAGGAGGCCGTTGTG